CATTTGGGCTGTTTCCAAGTTTTAGCTATTACAAACTGCGAGCAGCACAATTTATAACAGCAAAATCCTGGAAACAACTGAGTGTGGCACATACCTGTAATTCCAGCACTTGGGAGGCTGAAGCAGGAGCACCACCATGAGTTTGAGGCCAGCCTGGACTACATAGTGAGTTCAAGGCCACCCTGAACTGCATAGGAAAACCCTGTCTCAAACTCCCTCCCCAAAAAAACTTTGGAAATAGCCCAGATGCCCATCAATGGATAAATGGATAAAGAAAATGTAGTTTTTATATACAATGGAGTACTACACTGCCATAAATGATAAATTTGAGACATTTTTAGGTAAATGGATGCACCTTGAGAACATCACTTTAAGTGAAATAAATTGAACACACATGTTTAAATATCACATTGTTTCTGCTGTGTGAGAAAGCTAAAGGGTAAATAAGGACCAAAATGGATGATAAATATTAGGAAGTAGGAAGAAAATGTTCAAATGGGGAGAGAGGAGGAAATAGGGATAAAAAAATAAAAAAGAGGAAAACTATAGAAACAAAGTTTTGTAAAGGGAGAGAGGAAGAAGAATTGAAGGGAAGAGAGGGGAATGGGCAAAAAAGAATTAAGATACAATATGTACAGGTACTATGATGAATGTGATTATTACATAGGTCAAAAGTGTAGCAATAAAATTAATTTTACAAAAAGAGGACAGATCTCATGTTGTGCTCTTACCACAATGAAAAAGTGCTAAAAGAAAAAAATTTAAGTATATAAACTTGTCAAGGCTGAAAATGCTAGTTGAGAATAAACATCTCCATCCTTACTTCCACTCTTAAGCAGCCGTTTTTCCTCTTCCTTTAGTTTGTTCTGCATCAGGCGGAGAGTATTTTCAGCTTCCTGTGGAAGAAGAAAAACCAGATTCAGAAGGAATTACTTTTGGTGGACGATGCTATTACTCTTTACCATTGTGTACATACTGCTACAGAACAGGAAAAGATCTAAACTAAAGGTTACTGAGCAACTTTTTCAGGCATTCCCCAAACCTGGAGCTTTCTCTGCAGTCACCCAGCAGCCCAGTGGAAGGGGCCCAGAAAGTGATGTACTGGCCCCATCTTGCTCCTCCCACCACACCCCACTGCCTCTGAAAGAACCGAGCAACCCACCTAGTGTCATCTCGTGCACCTGCACAGGCCAGCGAGTGTCAGATGCAGCTAACTGTGGGACTGGCACTGGCTTCTTGCTCACAGAAGAAGAAAGCACTGCAGTTGTTATTTTTTTTGTCCTGCACTGCTTTTACCCTGCCAGCCTAGAAAGATGCTAAGGCGGGATGGGAAGAGAAAGAAAGAAATGCTAGTCTTAGTTCCTGGATGGGGCCAGGAAGAGGTAATACATCAGTTAGGTTGTCACATGTGGCCCTGATTAAGCCTGGCATGATAGCATCCGCTGGCAGTTCTAGCACCTATAAGCCTAAGGCAGGAGGCCAGCCTGGGCCAATAGAGTGAGACCCCATCTCAAAAAAAAGTGGCCCTGATGACTGTCGAGAGAGAGAGAGAGATAATGTGAGAAGAATATTGGTTTTTAAATTTTGGTGTTTTAAACATTAAAAAGAAAGCACTACGTTTCAGGCATGGGATTTTTTTTTTTTTTTTGCAGTAATGGGAATTGAACTCAGGGCCTTGTGCTTGCCAGGCAGCCGTGGCACCACTGAGCTAAATCTCCAGGCCAGGAATGGGATATTTTGAGGGAACATTTATTATAAGCACGGAGAGTAGGAGTAAGTGCAAGACAGCAGAGGAGAAATACTTTTTCAAGAGAATGAGGGGTACAGGGTGTTCACAGAAGTAACTGGGCCACCTACTTGCCTTTCTGAAGCATATTCTTCAGTATATTCTCTGAACCAAGGGGTGACCCCAGGTGACACAACAAAATGGTCACGGTTTATTTTCACAGACCTTTTACTGTCCTTTCCCAGATTTCCACTGTTTTATGTCCTAAACTCATCCAGGTGTGGTGGTGTACACCTATAATCCTAGCACTCTGGGAGGGTGAGGCAGGAGGACTGCAAATTTGAACCTAGCCTGGGTAATTTAGTGATTTAGTGAAACTGTAATTCAAATGGGCTTGGGATGTAGCTCAGTGCAAAGACCCAGGGTTCAATCCCTGGTACCACAAAAAGAAAAAAATAGTTTTAAACTCCAAGCTCTTTCCGCCTTTGTGTGTGTGTGTGTTTTTTTTTTTTTTTTTTGGTACCGGGGATCGAACTTGGGACCTTGCGCTTGCGAGGCAGGCGCCGGAACCACTGAGCTAAATCCCCGGCCCTAACTCCAAGCTCTTTCCATTGCCCACTTCTCAATGGCTGCTTCTCTGCCACACAGTAATAACAGTGGCTCTGAGTTACTCATCAGGATGACTTAAGTCCATGTAAATGTGTGGTTATACCCAGTACCCCTTCCCGGGCAATAAAATCACTTTACCTAATTCACTCACTCACATTTGTAAGACAGCTAGCATACCCTTAACAGCAAAAGTTAAGAAGAACACCATGAGAAAGGATGACTGTAGGTTAACTTCACCATGAACACAGATTCTAAACAATTATTCTCAGGTTACATAGAAATAGTCCTAAGGGATAATAAAGGCAACTGAAAAAGTGTTTCCAAGTTGGCCCAATTTCCTTTGCTCTGAATTCCACATTTATTGACTTGTCCTGGGATCAGAAATACTCTGTTCTAGGGCTGGGGATTTAGCTCAGTGGTTTCGCTGCCTAGCTCACAAGTGCAAGGTCCTGAGTTCAATCCCCGGCACCAAAAAAAAAAAAAGAAAGAAAAAAAGAAAAAAAAAAACAGAAATACTCTGTTTTAAATGGCTAAGAAAAGCCTGTAAGATAGCTGACTTTCTCAGTCACACATACTGTCCACAATCAGCTAATAAACTGCCATTCCTCTTTATAAAGCAGACTCTAATGATCTGGTGTGGGCAATTCAATTAACCAAGGCCTGGAAATCATTTAGGGAACTGACCCAACAAATTTTCAGACCTGTACTCAAGACCAGCTACCTAATTGTGGAGATCACTGCAAAACACAATCCACTTGGAAATTATCGTGAATTTCAAGACAGCAATAGCAGAGCAAGCACAGTCCCTTCTAAGCGCAGAGTGTTGGATGGCTGCAGAGGTCACATGTTGGCCCTATCTACTCCTAACTGATCAAATTCTGATAATAACACAGTATTAGGGGTTCTACAGCCCAGGAGTACAGGCTGTGCTGGCAGCAAAACAGCAGAATTAAACAAGCAATCCTCAGATTGATTTTCTTTCCACAGTGATGTTTACAAACTAACATGTCACCAAGTATGAAGGAATACATCAGAAGGAATTGTCTGTCAGAAGAGAAGGACAAGCACTTACTTCAAACCTCTCTTGCTCCATCTGGTGATGGTCCTCAAGTTGTTGTTCCAGGTAAGCCAAATTTCGAAATTTCTCTAGATAAATGTCATACTGCTTTTGCAATTCCTCCTCAATCTTCTCATATTCATCCATAAAGGCTGGCCTAAAATAAGCAAATGAAATAAAAAGTGAAAGGTAGTCTGAAATCTATATTCAGAGTTCTAGACTCCATCATGGCTTTCTTTGGAATGCTTTAATTATAGAAGGCCCTTCACTCTGATAACTGCTTAAAACTAACTCTCCTCTTCTCCTTTCTACCATTCAAATGAACATATTTCTTTTTTTAATCATGTGATCTTTGTAAAAACCTGAATTAATCTTGAAAGTATGAAGAATGACATAAAAATGACTCATAATCCCATAATCAAGCATATACATTTAATATCTGACAAACACCTCTCCAGACTTTTCTATGCCTATAGATAGGAATATATTTTTAAACAAAAGTTAAATATATTACCATAAAATAAGTTTTGTAGTTTTTCTTCTTCAGCATATCAGATTTAGCCAGATGTGCTGGTGCACACCTGTAATCCCAGAGTGCTTTTTCCCAGAGTGGGAAAAAAAGTCAGCTATCTTACAGGTTTCTCTTAGCCATTTAGAACAGAGTATTTCTGATCCCAGGACAAGTTCATAAATGCAGAATTCAGAGCAAAGGAAATTGGGCCAACTTGGAAACACTTTTTCAGTTGCCCTTATTATCCCTTAGGACTATTTCTATGTAACCTGAGAATAATTGTTTAGAATCTGTGTTCATGGTGAAGTTAACCTACAGTCATCCTTTCTCATGGTGTTCTTAACTTTTGCTGTTAAGGGTATGCTAGCTGTCTTACAAATGTGAGTGAGTGAATTAGGTAAAGTGAGACCTTGTCTCAAAAAAATAAAAAACAACAAGAACAAAAACAAAATGTTTAAAATTTTCTCAAACCAAGAGATGGATGTCCTGTTTCCACCTTATCTATAGCACAATCTTAGGAGACCAAGTCTCATATAACTCCCACCATCTGGATTTACTTACTCTGCCTTGCATTCCGAGAGCCCATAAGAGCATAAAGGCTGCTCAAGAATAAAGCCAATCTCTAGAAACACTGAAGGCATTGAAGAGTCTGCGTGCAGCAATCTAACTGCCAGGACACAGAGGTGAGTCTCCTTACACAGGCTTTTCTCGATGCCTGAAGAGTTAATACCACTTTGTTAAGGTTATATATAGATGTCCCCCCCAAAGCCTCATGTGCTCAAAGGCTTTGGAGATGACTGGATCATGAGGGTTCAATACTCAGCAGTGGCTTAGCCTACTGATGAGTTTGTAGCTAAATGTGCCCTTAGGAGATGGGGCCTGGTCAGTAGAGCTGGGTCAGTGGGGATGTGACCTGGAAGGGATAGCTCTTCCTTTACTCTCTGTTTCCTAGCCATCATAAGGTGAGCAGCTTTTCCTCTGCCATGCCCTTCTGCCATGCTGTCCTGTCTTGGCACCAGCCAACTATGGACTGAAATGTGAGCCAAAATAAACCTCTCCTCCCTTAAATTGTGGCTGTCAGATATTGTGTCTCAGCAATGAGAAAGTGACTAAGACACACACTTAGATCTGCTCAGTCTTTGTTCTAACTTTCAAAGGCACTTTTCTACCCACTCTTTCTGTTTACTCAAGTATTCCAATCTACCTGACACTTTGCAGAGTCTGGAGTCGCTTCCGATTTCTTTCCAGTTCTAATTTTCGCTTTTCAATTTTGGCTTCTAAATTAGCTTCATCAGAGGCCACATTATTGAGCAGGTCTTTGGTCTTCTGAACCTGTGACTACATTTAATGGGAAATGATAAGACAATGTGTCAGTGAGGACCACCACTCTGACTCTGAAGACGGCAACTTCCCAACTCTTCAGGCATACCAACACCACACAAAACATACACACAGCAAACATACAAACACTCCCCCCTCAGGGCTGGGGATTTAGCTCAGTGGTGCTGCACCTGCCTCGCAAGTGCAAGATCCTGAGTTCGATCCCTGGTACAAAAAAAAAGACACACACTCCCCCCAAGCAATGATTCACTGTGTCTTTGTAGGGGGAATAGCACATTAGATCAAGGAAAAAAACATTATTTTCATAAAAAGTGGGTGCTTCTGCTCAGGGAAACACATGCAGATGGAAAGGAGAGTGTCTGGATCTGGATGGAGAGAGACTTGGGACCTCTGTGCCAGTGCATGGTAGGACTGGGTACCCATCACTCTGCACTGCCACTCTGCTGGTAAACATGTGGGCTGCTCCTCTATTCACAATTACCTACTTAAGGAACATGCACACAAAAGTATAGCTCTACTCAGAAGGGGACAAACAGAATCCTGAGGTCCCTCTGCCCTAAACCACTGCCTACTGGGTCTGAGAGAGGTTCATCTTCCCTTCACTGGCAACAGGGGCTCAATAACAGACAAAATAAACAGAGAAAACTGCTTTGCTGGTGAAGTCAGGGCAAAAGTGGCTCCTACTGCAGAACTGGCCACATTAGTGGGTTTGTTTTGGAAGGCAGACTGCACAGTGGGAGAGAGGCTCTGGGTACGGGGCCTCAGTAAGAGAGGGAAGGGGATTAGAGACCACTGATGACAGTTATAGCACAGGCCCGGTTCCTCTGACAAGGGGAAGTTTGCTTGAAGCAGGTCTAGTGAGAGGAACAGTGCTGTCTTCATGCTTGTGTTCTCTGGGAAGTCAGCCATGTTGGGTTTCTTCTGGCTCAGAGTGCCAGTTAGCTGTGCTAGAAACCTGGAATGTGACCGGCTGCATATGGAGCCACCTTCCCACATTCTGAGAGTCCAGCTCTGTATGATGTTCCTGACAGCTGAGCCAAGATCCCCTCAAGGCCTCTGCATATGTGTCAGTCCCCCACAGAGGTTTCTTGGCTGTTTACCTGCAAGTCTCTGAAAAGCCACGAGGCCCACAAACAATCATAGAAGCCCAAATGCTCTCCAGAATTCTAAGACACTGCATTTTGTGAAGCAACCATAGTTGCTGTCAATAAATTTATGGTTTCATTGTTTTGGTCTGAGTACACTGATCATTTCTAAGATGTTGTCTTAAAAATGACCACATCACTAACCATGAATTTGCTGCAAGTACTAAAAACAAAAGAAAATAAAACAAAAACAAAAAAACACTAGTAGGAAAGCAAAGAAACAAGCAAACAAAAAGAAATGAAAACCAGTGTAAGTGTGAATTTGTCCTAACAGGGAGAAAGGTAGGTCTTTTCTAAACGACTCAAGCTAACAGTGATTATTCTCTGAGTCAGAGTCAGACGAAAGGTGAGGAAATTTATCTGACCTTAAAAACAAAAACTATTTTGTACGGTATCTGTTCCTCAAATAAGAAAGATCAATGTGTAAACATAATTTTCTTGTTTTCTGAAATAAGTGATTTGTACTTCATCACTCCTTTTATGTTATCATCACCCCTTTTATGCTATTGTTTCTGTTTTGACATCATACTTGTTTTCCAATAGTGAAAACAGACCATAAGAGATGTCCATCCACCAGCCCAGTATGGTGGTACATGCCTGTAATCCTAGCACTCGGGGGGCCCGAGATTTAGCTCAGTGGTTTCACCACCTGCTGCGCAGGCACAAGGACCTGAGTTCGATCCCCTGTACCAAAAAAAAAAAATCCTAGCACTCGGGAGGTTGAGGCAGGAAGATCACTATGAATTCAAGGCCAGCTTCACTCATGACCCATATGGTTGCGAGGCAGGCAAAGAGCCACTGAGCTAAATCCCCAGCCCTTGCTCTTATTTTTATATGAATATAAACTTTGCTTCTAGTTTTTTTTGTTATTGTTCTGTTTTTATTTCTTTGCTCTCTCTTTCCCTCCTGTCTTCTTTACCAGTTTCCCAAAGTTCATGTAATTTTTCTTTATCCTCTAGCCTTGCTTCCAATCTCTTCCTCTTCTTCTATTTCTCTATTTTTCCCCTTTTAAATTCTCTCCCCTGAGGGTAAAATCACCATATTGAGGGCATATTTACTGTATATAATTTTCTGGTTCGTTTTAGATTTTGTTATATAACCACAAATATGGTCCATATGGTTAAAGGTGGCACATTAATAGTTACCACAATTTGTCATTCATTAGGCTGTGTTTGATGCTATTGTTATTGCTTATTGTACTACTTTAGCCAACGTGACATAGTTGTCTAATCAGTTGTTGTTCTTCCTGGTATCCAAGACTGAGACTGCTTAAGGGTCATGAACAATACTTTAGCCCAGTGCCAAAGAACCAGGGGCTAGGCCAAATAAGCAGCAACTTCTCATCTCCAATAAATTAAAGAGGTAGGATCTTCCAACAGACTCAAAACGCAAAAGCCAGCTATACCTGGTAGACATCTCTGAGAAACAGTCATTTTCTAAGGGGTCTAAATAGTAGCAATAAAGCTACCTGCCATAAGCAATTTACAAGCATCAACTCAGGAATTAAAATAAAAAATAAAAAAAAGAAAGAAAATAAGAAGACATTTAAGCAAGATGCAACCCCAGACTTCCAGCTCACCAAAGGCAAACCTAGGGGCTAATGAGATGGAACAATTTGAAACCACCCACCTGGACTCTCTGAAGTGGTAATAGTGGAAGTAACAAAGCAGATGAATAACTTGCTAGAAAAAAAAATCAAATGACAAATAATTTCTCAGATAACTACGGAGATGGTGGTCATAATGAAAGACATGGTTAGTGACTCCAGAGCAGATACAGATAAAAATATAGTGGAAGTTAAAAAAATAATAGAAATTATGAATGCCCAATATAGGAAAAAAATGGAATATATGCAACAGATTCAAACAGATATCCAGGAGATTAAATATTCCATTGAAAGGATATGCAGCAGAATGAGCCAATGTGAGAACAGAATATCAGATATAGAATAGAAGACAAGATTGCGGTTAGCGACATGAAAAGAAAGATTTCTTGGGCCAGGGATTTGGTTCAGTGGTTCCGCGCCTGCCTCGAAAGCAGAAGGTCCCGAGTTCAATCGCCGGTACCAAAAAAAAGAAAGAAAGATTTCTTTTTTTCTTGTGCTTGCAGTGGAACCACTGAGCTAAATCTCTGGCCCAAGAAAGATTTCTTAAAAATAGCAAGGGACCATGAAAAAATCAATCCAACAGCTGCTAGATGATGCAAAGAAGGATAACATAAAACTGATCAGGGCTGGGGATTTAGCTCAGCGGTTCCAGTGCCTGCCTTGCAAGTGCAAGGTCCCAAGTTCGATGCCCAGTACCACACACACACAAAAATCTTCAAGTAAGACTGATCAGAGTCAATGAGAAAGCAGGAGATAGCGCAAATGATAAAAAAAACCTGTCACAGAAGTAATGGCAAAAACACTTCCCAAGCAGGGAAAAACAATTTGACAAACAAATAACTGAGCATATAGACTCCAATTAGCCATGATAAAAAAAAATCTACACCAAGGCATATAATAGTCAAGATACCAGAAATTCAACACAAGAACAGAATATTAAAAGCTGTTAGAGCAAAGAAACAAATCATCTGTGAAAGAAAGCCCATCAGAATTACAGCAGACTTTTCCACATAAACCCTCTAGTCAAGGAAAGGTTGAAGTATTTCAAGCCCTAAAAAAAAAGCAACCTCCAGGGCCAGGGATTTAGCTCAGTGGTGCTGCCGCCTGCCTCGCAAGTGCAAGGTCCTGAGTTTGATCCCCGGTACTGCAAAAAAAAAAGAAAAGAAAAGAAAGAAAAGAAAAGAAAACAATCTCCCAATCTCCCATCTTTCTATTGAGGCCGGGGATTTAGCTTAGTGGTTCTGCCACCTGCCCTGTAAGCGCAAGGACCCGAGTTCGA